AGCCCCCGGGTTCGAGACTCGCCTGGGTAGCGAGACCTTATCTCTACAATAATAAAAAAAAAAAATCAGCCGGGCGTGGTAGAGCATGCCTGTAATTCCGGCTACTGGGAAGGCTGAGGCGGAAGGATCGCCGGAGCCCAGCAGGTCGAGGCTGCGGTGGCCGGGAGCGGCCACTGCACTCCAGTCTGGACGACAGAGAGACTCCAACTCAAAAAAAAAAAAAATTAGTCGGGCGTAGTAGCGCGCGCCTGTAGTTCCGGCGACTGGGAAGGCTGAGGCGGAAGGATCACAGAGGCACAGCAGGTCGACGCTTGGGTTGCCGTGACTGTGTCACTGCACTCCAGCCTAGGCGACGGAGTGAAACTCCGACTCAAAACAAAAAACAAAAAACCGTTCCACGAAGGTACAACGTGACGTAAGGATTCGCCGAAGCACAAAAAGAAACGCCACTTGGTCTTATTTATCTTTTCGCATCACGTGTTCTTGTGTGCCCAACCCCGTCAGCCTCTGGTCCCCATTCCTCGGCCAATGATGAGGATGTGTGATTGGCTAGCTTGTGGGCACGTGCTCTCGGCCCTCTTTTCTATTGGTGGACAACGGTCCAGCCCCCGGCCTACCTCCGCGCCTCTCAACCGGACAGCTGCCCGAGCGTGCGCAGGCGCAGTGGCTGGTAGGTCGCTCCGGGTGGCATCCGCGTGAGGTGGCTGCAGCGGCCTCTACTGCACACGGCTTTCCAGGGGACCTGGGAGCGCTCTTCTTCCGAGGCAGAAACCAGCAGGAGGGACCGAGTGGGAGCTCGAGTGTGAAAAGAGGGTTAATTCACGTGCGTGTGACATTAGGGCCAACTTTCCTGTTGTGCTTGTCCCTCTCCTGGTCACCCAACTCCCCCTGCCAGCTTCTGGTGGGCAAGCCCTCCATGCTTTTATACCGGGAAGGGACAAGAGGATCGGGAAAATAGGATGCAGGGAAGCAAAGTGTGGCCGAGAGGAGGCATGAACAAGCAGAAAGGTGAGGGGATATTGGGTGAACCAAATGCCTCTAAGAGGCCCCAAATCCACAGTTCAATTTCCACCCACACCTTGAAGAGGGGAAAATAAAGAGATTTGCTAGTCTGACTTCCATGCTTTTGCATCGATTGTTTCTGTCTGAAATGCTCTCCTTTCCTGCCTGGTGGAGGCATGTTCATCTTTCAGGACTCAGCCTGGGTCATTTCTTGAAGTCTCCTGAGCTTTGTCTTTTTCCTTCCCCAGGTACAGTTGCTCAGTTACCCCATAAAGTTGCTACAGTATAAAGAATGAGAGCAAGCTCAGAAACAGACAGACCAGTTTTGTTTCTGGCCTAGTCACCCTAGGTGACCTTTGGCAGGTTACCTAAGGTTTCCAAGCTTCGGGGTATCTTCATCTTTCAAAAGAAATAGTGATCCTGTCATATATCACAGGGTTGTGGGAATTAAGTGCACAAATTCATCGTGTTAATGCTTCCTACAGTGCTTATTGTATAGTAATTATTTAATAAATATTTTCTTAAGGGGAAGGAGAGGAAAGGGCACTCGTAATTTTCTTTAGAAAGACTTTATTACATCAAGCAAGACTTGCTTTTGTAATCTTTTTAAAAAAAGACAACAGGTACACAGAAAGGAAATGAGAGTCTGAAGAAGGTTATTGTGAAGTTTAGGTAAAGGAGTACTTGATAGAAGACAAAGTTTAGGCAGATAGGATGACTTCCTTTCCCTCCATCCTGCCCTCCTCCCATCTCCTAATGATAGTGACTGGGATTTGCTTATTATGTCCCAGGAACTGTGCTAGGACCTTTACACACACATCATTACTTTGTTTAATCTTCACAACAACTCAGTGAGGTAGTTACTATCATCCTCATTTATAAAGAGCCTAAAATTAGAGAAAATAACTTGGTCAAGTTCACCTAACTAGCAAGACTGGGATTGAAATCTACATCTGTATACTCAGAAGAGTTTCAATTCCATACTGTATTCCTTTTCTAATAAATTGAGAAAAAAAAATACTCTCCTTTCTTGGACTACTTTAATTTTTTCTTTGTGAAGTAGAATTTTTTTTTTTTTTTTTTTGAGTTGGAGTCTCACTCTGTCACCCAGAATGGAGTGCAGTGGCACTCTCCCGGCTACCGAGCCTCGACCTGGTGGGCTCTCGTGATCCTTCTGCCTCAGCCTTCCAAGTAGCCGGAACTACAGCCACATGCTACCATGCCTGGCTAATTTTTTTGATTTATTGTAGAGGTCTTATCCAGTTGCCCAGGTGGGTCTTGAACCCACAGGCTCAGGCAATCCACTTGCCTCAGCCTCCCAAAGTCCTGGGATTACAGGCTGAGCCACCGAGCTCAGCCTAGAATTTGTTTTATAACAAAAGATTAGATTAAAAGTGGATCTCAAAACACTGCGTTGAACCTTAGGAATAATAATATATTTGGAATTATTATATCTAGGCAACTTCTGTTGGATAAGTTGGATGATGGTTAAGGTGACTGACTCATCTTGGTTTCAGCACTGAAAGTCCTGCATCCTGAGAAGTCCCTTCATTGCTGGACAATCATTCACCCTACCTACAAGTGTTGAATTCCCTATTGGTTCTTCCTTTGATCCACTCAGAAAAAGTTCCCCGAAGACCGACCTTTATGCATGCCCAGGTATTTCTTGTGAGGTTAACTCTTATTAAGTGAGCTAATGTGTTATAAAATGCTTTGCACAGTGCTTGGGACATAGTATGTGCTCAATACATGCTTTTATTTAAAGAGGTGAGGCCAGGCATGGTGGTTCATGCCTATAATCCTAGCACTTTGGGAGGTGGAGGTGAGAGGATTGCCTGAGACCAGGGGTTTGAGACCAGCCTGGGCAACTTGGCAAGACCTCATCTCTTCAATAAATAAAAAAATTAGCCAGGGCTGGGTGCAGTGGCTCAAGCCTGTAATCCCAGCACTTTGGGAGGTCGAGGCAAGAGGAATACCTGAGGCCAGGGGTTCGAGACCACTCTGGGCAACTTGGCGAGACCTCAACTCTACAATAAACTAAAAAATTCACTGAGTGTAGTGGTGCACGCCTGGAAGGCTGAGGAAAAAGGACCGCCTGAGCCCAACAGGTCAAGGCTGCAGTGGCTGTGAGTATACCACTGCACTCCAACCAGGGTGACAGAGTGAGACTCCAACTCAAAAAAAAAAAAAAAAAACTAAAAAAAATGGTGGTGCATGTGTGTTTCCAGCTACTTGGAAGGGTGAGGCGGAAGGCTCATCTGAGCCCAGCAGGTCAAGGCTGCGGTGGCCGTGAGCATGCCACTGCACTACAGCCTGGGTGACAGAGTAAGATTCCTACTCAAAAAATAAATAAATAAGAGGTGAGAGAAGGATATTCAATTTATAAGGGCACAAAAAGGAGGAATACGAGTTAGTAGAGAGGAAGTTTCCAATCATGTATCTGTTTGTCGTTGTGATTTCAACTTACTAAAAGTTGACAGTGGAGCAGAACTGCCAAAACAGCTGAGAAAGTGGATGACCAAAAGTCATGCCCAAGTCTGGGCCTGTGCAGTTAGAACCACAGAACCAGGGCAGTGACAAACTGATAGCACCCACTCGCTTGTAACTCTAACCAAGGGCAGGTACAGTGGCTTAGGAACTGCAATGATGGTAAAAAAGAAAAGAAGTAAAGCAAGGAGGCAGAGATAAGAAACAGCAGCTTCGGAAAATACCAAGTTCCTCTTGAGACACATTTTTCTGGAACAAATTCCATCTCAAGAGGAAATATGAACAAAGCAAACATTCCTAAGGCCCTCAAGACTTGATTTCATGTTTCGTACCAGTATCGGGGTACTGAAAAAGCCTGCCTTCTCTCCCTGGCAGCCTAACTTGCTCTCCACTGGCTACTACATTTTTTCTTTTCTTTTTGAATTGGGGTCTCACTCTGTCAGCCAGGCTGGAGCCTAGTAGCAGGATCACTGAAGCCTCGACCTCCTGGGCTCAGGCCATCCTTCCACTTCAGTCTCCCAAGTAGCTGGGGCTACAGTTGCATGCCACCATGCCCAGATAATTTTTTTTACAATTTTTTGTAGAGATGAGGTCTTGCTGTGGCCCAGCTGGTCTCGAACTCTTGGGCTCAAGCGATCTTCCTACCTTCAACTCCCAAAATCCTGGGATGAAAGGAGTGAGCCACTGTGTCCAGCCAAGATCCAAATTTTAATACAATTGTTGGTACTGACTTTGGGTAGCTGAAGAAATCTGGTTCAAAACAATTTAAGATCCTCAACTGCAAAAAAAAACTGGAATGAGATATACAACAACCTTATACCTCTTCAGAATGAAATAATGCCTGAGCAAATTCACAGTTGTTCAGAGGAAAGAACTCTGTGTTATCAAGACCTTGGATTACCCCAGATAACTGAAATTTGCTTCCTCGGTAGGTGCGGGATGAGCATGTATTGCCTGCCCTATTTTTAGACAAAAGGCTATCCGGAATAGGCTGTGATTCTCTCATCCGCCTTACTTTTTGATGAGACTGTGCAGAAAGCTTTAGCCCGGTTCTTTCTGGCTAACTCAGTAATCAAACAAGTCTTGCTGCTTTCCTCCACAGAAACAAATCAATTTAAAGAGCCCACCTGGGAATTAACTGTTTCCCTTCTACAGAACTGGGTTCAAGCCAAGTGCCTATTCTGACAGCTGAAATCAAGCAGAAATCAATCCTTAGAGAACTGTCATAAAGCCCCATTCTTTTTATAAAAAGTTATATAAACGCACAGTCCGGCTGGGCTCAGTGACTCAGCTTGTAATCCCAGCACTTTGAGAGGCCAAGGCGAGTGAATTGCCTGAGCCCGTGGGTTCGAGACCCATCTGAGCAACTTGGAGAGACCTCGTCTCTACAATAAAACAAAATTAGCTGGCCGTGGTAGCGCGTGCCTGTAGTTCCAGCTACTTGGAAGGTTGAGGCAGAAGGATCACCAGAGAGCCCAGCAGGTCGAGGCTGTGGTGGCCGGGAGCATGCCGCTGCACTCCAGTCTGGGCGACACAGTGAGACTCCAATTCAAAACAAAAAACAAACAAAAAATAGAGTCCACACACCTGGTGTGCTATTAAAGATTCCTTTATTCCTTGGTTAATAAAAAAACCCATTCATGCCATTGCTTTTTTTATTTAAGTATATCGAAATGGTTCTGTTCACGACACTTAACCATTTGGATTATAAATGTAGTCGTTTCCTTCTACCCCTACCCCCCAATTAGTGAGATCCCGGGTTAGCATTCCACTCTATTCTGGCCTACATGTGTCCCAGGCCATTTCTTCTGCCAGGTGAGGTAAAAACGAAGTGAATGCAGTTTTCCTATCAAGAGCAACAGCTTCTTTTGAAAAAATCTTTCTTGGGGCAAATCTCACTTAACTCGTTGGCTCTGAATCCTGCCCAGTTCAGATGGTCTGGCTGAGAGATGTTGGTCTGCTGTCCTCTACAGGCTGCTTGCAGTAATTTTCAATTAGTTTGCAAAAAAAGGGATGAATCCTGAGGGATCTGTAAAGAAATGAACCCAGTTAATGATGTGATACTCCCGCGCCTTTGGGAGGCTGAGGTGAGTGGATTGCCTGAGCCCGTGGGTTCGTGACCCGCCTGGGCAACTTGGTGAGACCTCATCTCTACAATAAATCAAAAAATTAGCCGCGTGTGGTAGTGTGCGCTTGTAGTTCCAGCTACTTGGAAGGTTGAGCTGGAAGGATCACCGGAGCCCAGCAGGTCGAGGCTGCGGTGGCTGGGAGCAGCCACTGCACTCCAGTCTGGGTGACAGAGTGAGACTCCAACTCAAAAAAAAAAAAAAAAAAAAAGATGCCATACACCAGGAGTGGGGTGGAGGAAAAGCTTGTGAACATGGGTATACCATTCAAAATACCATAGCACTTAGGACATGGAAATATGGCCGCTATATATTGTTAAGAGAACACAGGATGTAATAAAACACTAAGCTTGATTCAATTTTTGTAAATACAGTCTTTTTTGTTTTGTTTTGTTGTAGAGACGAGGTCTCGCCAAGTTGTCCGGGCTGGTCTCGAACCCGCGGGCTTAGGCAATCCACTCGCCTCGGCCACCCAAAGTGCTGGGATTACAGGCTGAGCCACCGAGCACGGCCAACATACATACAGATTTAGTTATACCAGAATGTTAAACTTTGGCTATCTTGGTGGTGAGATTGTGGGCAATTTGCATTATCATCTTTTTTTGCTTATTTGTATTATCTACACTTTCTACAATAAATATGTATTATTCTAGTAGTATGAAACTAGTTTAAAATTATGTATATATTTTTTTTTCCTTTTTTGTTTTTTTTTGAGCTGGAGTCTCACACTCTGTCGTTCACGCTACAGTGCAGTGGCATGCTCACGGCCACTGCAGCCTCAACCTGCTGGGCTCAGGTGATCTTTCTGCTTCAGCCTCCCAAGTTGCTGGAACTACAGATGTGCACCACCACACCCAGTTGATTTTTTGATTTATTATAGAGACAAGGTCTCGCCAAGTTGCCCCAGCTGGTCCTGAACCTGTGAGCTCAGGTAATCCTCCCACCTTGGCCTTCCAAAGTGCTGGGATTATAAGCATGAGCCACTGCATCTGGCTAAAAAGTATACTTTAAAGATGTACCAGCTGGGCGTGGTGACTCACGCCTATAATCCCAGCACTTTGGGAGGCTGAGGCAAGAGGACTGCCTGAACCTGTGGGTTCAAGTCTAGCCTGGGCAACTTGGTGAGACCTCATCTCTACAACAAATCAAAAAATTAGCCGGGCCTGGTGGTGTGAGCCTGTAGTTCCAGCTACTTGGAAGGCTGAGGCAGAATGAATGCCTGAGCCCAGTAAGTCAAGGCTGCGGTGGCCAGGAGTGTGCCACTGCCCTCCAGCCTGGGTGACAGAAAGAGACTCCAACTCAAAAAAATTAAATAATAATAAAATAAAATGTACCACAGGGACTTCTTGGTTGCTAGTAACATCCTTTTCCTTGACTAGATCCTGTACATCTTCATCAGGCTGTCCGTTTATGATATGTGTACATCTCTGTATGTGTAGCTTACTTCAATTAAGTTTTTTATTTTTATCTTATTTTATGATTATTTTTTTAGTTGGAGCCTTACTCTGTCACCCAGACTGGAGTGCAGTGGCACACTCATGGCCACCATGGCCTTGACCTGGTGGGCTCAGGTGATCCTTCCACCTCAGCCTTCCAAGTAGCTGGAACTACAGGCACGCACCATGACATCAGGCTAATTTTTCTTGATTTACTGTAAAGACAAGGTCTCACCAAGTTGCCCAGGCTGGTTTTGAACTCCTGGGCTCAGGCAATCCTCTTACCGTCACTTCCCAAAGTAGTGGGATTATAGGCGTGAGGCACCACTCCTGGCTAAAATAGTTTTTTAAAAGTGGTTGCAAGTTGGACATAGTGGCACACACCTGCAAGGCCAAGACGAAAGGACTGCCTGATCTCAGGAGGTCGTGTCCAGCCTGGGCAGCATGGCAAGACTGTGTCTCTACAATATATCAAAAAATTAGCCAGGTGTGGCAGTGTGTGCCTGTAGTTCCAGCAACTCGGGAAGCTAAGGCACAAGGATCACCTGAACCTAGCAGGTCAAGGTTGCAGTAGCTGTGACTGTGCCCCTGCACTCTAGCCTGAGTCACAGAGTGAGACTGACTCAAAAAAAAAAAAAAAGTGGTTACACAGGAACTCTCATTCTTTGCTGGTAGGGATTCTAAATGGTGCAGCCACTTTGGAAGGCAGTTTGACATTGTTACAAAATTAAACATACTTTTACCATATAATCCAGCAATTGTGTTCCCTGATATTTACCCATAAATTCAAACAAAAACTGTACACAGATGTTAATAGTACCTTTATTTGGCTGGGTGTGGTGGCTCATGCCTATAATCCCAGCACTTTGGGAGGCCGACTGGGAGGATTGCTTGAGCCTACTGGTTTAAGACCAGCCTGGGCAACTTGGCAAGACCTCATCTCTACAATAAATCAAAAAATTAGCTGGGTATGGTGGCGTGTGCCTATAGTTTCAGGTACTTGGAAGGCTGAGACAAAAGGATCGCCTGAGCCCAGCAGGTGGAGGCTGTGGTGGCCAGAAGTTTGCCACTGGACTCCAGCCTGGGCAACAGAGTGAGACTACAACTCAAAAAATAAAAATAAAAAAGAAATAAATAAAACCTAGACCCTTCTATGTTTTGTCAGTGCTACCTATTGCTTTCAGTTAAATGAGAACTGGAAATTATTATCTGAGAAGGCTTTACCTTTAGCTTAAGGATTCAAGTGAAAGTCCCGGTTCCAGATTCAGGAACATCAGGCCTTGGTCAGTGTGGGTCTATTTTTTTTTTTTTTTTG